CAGTTCCTCCTGCCATCTGCCTCTGCCCCCCCACGCTCACCAGGGCCTTCTCAGTGACCTTGACGTCCACTCCACAGGTGAGACACTAGGACCAAGGTCCCAGGCTGGGAGGCAGCGGGGTTGGGTGGAACCCCAGGATCAGGGCCCCGCTCTGCGGCGCCCGCGCTGTGTGATGGGAGCAGGCACTGGGCCTTTCTGTGCCAGCTTCGTCAACATTCTGAGCTGTCCCAGGTCACCCCTCAGGACCAAGGGCTCCTTCTGCTCGCTCACAGGTGCTCTGAAGGGACATGTTCGTTTGTTCAGAGGATCGAGCCACAAGTCTTCCTTAAATCCCTGTGAACAAGGCTTCCAGGCCAAAGAAAGAAAGGGAGAGGCATGGAGGGAGAAGAGGGAAGGGAGCAGGTGGAGGGGCACAGCAGGTGCAAAGGCCCTGAGGCGGGAGCTTCTCAGGCAGCTCTAGGCACTGGGTTGGCCCAGGGCCTGGAAAGCCGACCCGGGGACCAAGAGGATATTGACAGCAGGTGGCTGGCTTCTCAGCTGGGACCTGGGCCAACTCATGCACATCCCAGAATATTTTCTTTGTCAAAGGTGGCTTCCTCCCCTAGACAGATTTATCTGCATTTCCTGCAGTAGGGTCAGATTGAAAGTCATGAGCATGGAAATGAGCCCCCCAATGCTGGGTTGATGGCAAGAGTGACATTTGTCTATTTATTTGTTCAGTGGTGCTGCGGATGGAACCCAGGGCCTCCTGCATGCTAGGCAAGCTGAGCTGCATCCCCAGTCCCTTTGTTTTTTATTTTGAGACAGAGTTTTGAGAAGTTGCTGAGGCTGGCCTCCAATTTAGGATCCTCCTGCCTCAGCCTCCCGAAGCCGGGATGACAGGTATGCACCATGGTGCCTGGCTACAATTGTCTTAAATATGCTCAGAGAGCTCAAGGAAAACATAAGAAAAGAACTAAAGGAAGTCGGGGAAGGTAAACATACAGAAGGACACATCCACGTGTGTTTCTGAGGAATAGCCCGTTCACAAAACACGAACAGAGATGGCAGCGCATGCTCAGCTTCCCTCCACCCACAAGGACCACACAAGGAAGCGAGGCTCAGAGGCGCGGCTCAGCGAGGGCTGCTTGCCCACCACGAGCAGGACCCCAGGCCCAGGCCCAGGCCCAGCGCTACAAGAAAGGGGCGTGGGGGAGAGAGAGAGAAAAGAAGAGAAAGGAAAAGAAATCCAAACGCCTGGCACATGGAGTGGGACTGCGGTGAGCCAGGGCGCATCTGAGGACAGACAGACAGACACATAGGACCTGGGGTGATGCAGCCACAGGCCGAGGGAGGCCAAGGATGGCCAGCAGCCACCAGAAGCCAGGAGAGCGGTGTCCTGGGACAGACTTTCCCTCGGCGCCTGCAGAGGGACCCAGCATGGCCCCCGCCCTGGCTGAGCTTTGGCCTCATCACAGCACTCTGGGTGCAGCCAGCAGGTTCTATGGAAGGCGGGTCTGCCTGGGCCTGCGTCTCCCGAGCCTGGCCCTGCTCTGGGACGGTGGTAAGTCACAGGAGGGAGAGGGGGTGCTGTGAGCTGGCAATGTGGGTCCCTAGGACCCTGTCCCTGCCTCAGGAGGCCCTCACCCTGGGGCCGCTCTAGTCACACCCACTGTGTGTGGGTCCTGCTCTGGGGACCCAGCAAGGACGCGGCAGCCCCCAGGCTGGCAGTACAGGGCACAGGGTCCCAGCTGTCGGGGGTTCAAGGGCAGCTGAAGGGTCCTGGGCGGGCGCATGCCAGGGAGGGGCTGGGAGAGGCCAGTTCAGTCCCATCCGGGGCCTCGCCTTAGGCAGAGGCAGGGGTCTCAGCTCTGGGTCTTACACCCTCTTTGGCCTCTTTGTCCCCAGGGGAAAGCCCGACTCCTCTGCTGGGATTTGAACCCGTGCCCTCCTTTTGCTCCCGTCCCCCTGTGCAGGAGGCCCCTCCGTCAAACCTGGGGAGCTCCCGGGACCCCTCAGAACCCAGAGTTTGGGGGCGATGCTGGGGTCATCCTGGGAACTCACTGAGGGTCACGGGCCCAGAGGGAGCCGAGGGGCAAAGTCTGGCCCTGGACCCTGGGGAGCCCTCCCCCTCCCCCCTCCGCCTTCAGGAGCTTCCCTTCCCGCCAGGGACTGGCGCCGAGACCTGCCCAGACATGTCCATGCCCCGGAAATGGGAGGGTGGCCCTGCCACCCCCAGTGTGCAGTGCCCATGGGGGACAGAGACAGGAGAGGGAGGGGCGGGAGCAGAGAGCAGGAGACACAGAGGGCTGGGGACTCCCCGGGACAGAGAGAGCGGGGACAGAGAGAGCAGGACGCAGGCAGAAAGGAACTCTTAAAGGACATAAGACAATGTTGCGGTGGCAGAGCGCTCAGGCAGCACGGCGAGGCCCTGGGCCCGTCCTCAGCACCCCGCAAAATAAATAAATAAAAGTAATAGCTGGGGCGCAAAAACCATTTTCAAATAGAATCGTTTATTTTGGAGCAAACGTGAGCGACTGTGGTCTGGGAAGTGGGTTCAGGGTCGGCTGAACGACGTGTCCCACGGTAGAAGAGGGTCCATGAATTTCCTAGTCACAGGACAAAAGAAGGTGACCTCGGTACATTGACCAAGTCTGGTGGCCGGGGTGGGGTGGCGACGGGCAGGGCTCCTCCTGGGCCTCTGAGGTGCGCGGCTGGTGGAGGCCGGAGCGCTGCCTCCCTTAGAGACATTTTCGCGGAAGTTGACGCACTGGCCAGGAGGACGGGAGGCCAGACGCAGAAGCCCAGGGACGCAGCTGGTCAAGGAGGTGAAGGGCTGTTAAAGGATAATGTCGCCCCACGAACTTGCACTTGGCCTACAACCTTCCTCCTCTCCGCCATCTCCACGTTCCCGCTGGCCAAGGGCAGGCGTCTGCAGGACCTTGTGGCGGATGCAGTTTCTCCAGGAACTTGTCACAGGCATAACCAGCTCTGTGCCGAGGGACCCAGCCTGGGCTGTGCCCTGAGGGCCGCGGTGTTTCCTTGTGACTTGAAGCTGATCCCTACACCCACCTGGTAGCGCTATAGGTCCAAGCTCCGTCAGGGCCTGGCATCCAGCAGGTGCTCCATCAATGCACACAGTGAACAGCATTAGGACAGAGGCGCAAGGGTACCAAGCAGGATGTGGGGTGCGGGGAGATGGAGGTGACCCAGCTGCTGGGTTCCGGCGGAGGCACGTGGGGCCTGGTGCTGGATCCCGAGGTGACCCACTTCCTGTTGGGCTCCGGCCGCGCTGCGCCCCACCCCCAGGCAGGAACCCGCGCAGCCGGTCCCAGGGCCGACTGACCACTTCTCCCCCACGGCCCAGACCTGCTGAGTCATGCTCAGCTGTCACCATCTGTCCCCACTCACTGGACACCCTAAGGGGACCTGGCAGAGACCCAGAAGGGAAGGAGGTCACACCTGGGGGAAGCCAACCCTTCACTTCCTTAACAGCCTGCTGAGTTGCCACGCGCCCTCCACCGCCCTTGACCGCGACAAGGTGAAAACCTGGTTAGGGTTAGGGACCGAAACGAGACGCGATCACAGCTTCAGATGTCTGGATGTCAGTAAAGATAACCGCGGAGCCGCAGGCCTGTCGTCCCAGCAGCTCGGGAGGCTGAGGCAGGAGGATGGCGAGTTCGGAGCCGGCCTCGGCAGCTCAGGGAGGGCGGGCTGTGCCCAGTGGTCAAGCTCCTGGATCCAGTTCCCGGAGCCAAAATAAACCAATGGATTATGGCCAAATGGGGACTTCAACGACAGGAAGGACCCGGTTCTCGGTGGTTGGCACTCATCTAGGCCCGGGCTCCATCCCAGCGCCACGAAATAGATGAATAAAAAACCGCGCGACAGAAACGGATCCTTTAAGAGTTCCTTTCTGCCTGCACCCTGCTCTCTCTGTCCCGGGGAGTCCCCAGCCCTCTGTGTCTCCTGCTCTCTGCTCCTGCCCCTCCCTCTCCTGTCTCTGTCCCCCATGGGCACTGCACACTGGGGGTGGCAGGGCGACCCTCCATTTCCGGGGCACGGACATGTCTGGGCAGGTCCTGGCTCCAGTCCCTGGCGGGAAGGGAAGCTCCTGAAGGCGGAGGGGGAGGGGGAGGGCTCCCCAGGGTCCAGGGCCAGACTTTGCCCCTCGGCTCCCTCTGGGCCTGTGACCCTCAGTGAGTTCCCAGGATGACCCCAGCATCGCCCCCAAATTCTGGGTTCTGAGGGGTCCCGGGAGCTCCCCAGGTTTGACGGAGAGGCCTCCTGCACAGGGGGACGGGAGCAAAAGGAGGGCACGGGTTCAAATCCCAGCAGAGGAGTCGGGCTTTCCCCTGGGGACAAAGGGGCCAAAGAGGGTGTAAGAGACCCCAGAGCTGAGACCCCTGCCTCTGCCTAAGGCGAGGCCCCGGATGGGACTGAACTGGCCTCTCCCAGCCCCTCCCTGGCATGCGCCCGCCCAGGACCCTTCAGCTGCCCTTGAACCCCCGACAGCTGGGACCCTGTGCCCTGTACTGCCAGCCTGGGGGCTGCCGCGTCCTTGCTGGGTCCCCAGAGCAGGACCCACACACAGTGGGTGTGACTAGAGCAGCCCCAGGGTGAGGGCCTCCTGAGGCAGGGACAGGGTCCTAGGGACCCACATTCCCAGCTCACAGCACCCCCTCTCCCTCCTGTGACTTACCACCGTCCCAGAGCAGGGCCAGGCTCAGGAGACACAGGCCCAGGCAGACCCGCCTTCCACAGAACAGAGTGCTGTGATGGAGGGCGCACAGGCAGCCCTAGGAGGCAGAAGAGGTGCCTGGCATCCAGGGGGGCTTTCCCGGAAGAGGAGGCAACTGCGTCGATGAAGCCGCGGCTCTGTGCCCGGCACCCGGGGAAGGCCCCTGAGGTAGGGGGAGAGCGAGGCTCAGGGACGCAACGGGAGGCCAGGTCCCTCTTGGGCTTCTCAAGGCCCTTAGGACCACACCCAGCCCCCCTGCCCACCCCAGGAGGCCGCTGTTTTGGACACAGCTCCTGGGCGAGGCCCTGGGCTGCCCAGGCTTAAACCAACATGGAGTCACTCACACTAAAGCTCCATGTCCCTGAGGTGGAATTAAGCTGTTTACATGATCTTCCAGGAATTCAGGATCAGCGGCCAAGTTGTCCGAACAGGAGGCCAAAGAGGCACCACCACGAAGTCCCTTCTGCTTTAATTCTTTCGCAAAAATCGTTATCAAGGTCTGGGGTGCAGCTCAGAGGTGAAGGGGTTCCCTACACGCCCAGGGCCCTGGGGAAAGAAAGGAGGGAGGAAAGGAATAGGAGGGAGAAGATGATACCCCAAAGCTTTGTCAGGCTGCGCCGGAACGCCCGCCCAGGGTCACGTCCCTCTAACTGCCACATGGTCGAGTGTGTCCCCAAGGGGTATGTGCTGCAAGTTTGGTCCTCAGTGTGGTGGCGTGGAGGGGGACCCTTGAAGAGATTAATGCAGTTCTTTGGGGATCCTGGTTAGTTCCCCCCAAGAGGGGTTTGTTGTAAGAAGAGAGAGCGTCTCCCCACCACCCCTCCCTCTCACGCGGATTTCCACCATAGTGTGTCCGCCATGTTGTGATGTCCGCCATGTTGTGATGGGGCCAGAGGCCTCCACCAGAGCCCCACAGATGGGGCCTCCTGATCTTGGACTTTCAGCTTCTAAAATTGTGAACGGAACAAACCTCTTTACAAAGCACCTAATGTCAGTATGTGTTACAGAAAAACAAATCTCCTTCCTCTCTCTGAAGTTCCTGTGTTAGTCCATTTTGTGTGGCTATGACAAAAGACCTGAGATAATCCACACGGTAAGAGAGAAGCTTAATTTGGGCTCATGGTTTCAGAGGGTTCAGTCCATAACTGCTCCGTCCCCTTGCTTTGGGCCTGGGGCAGAAGGTCCATGGTGGCAGAAGCACATGGTGGAGGAAGCCTGTTCACTTCCTGGCAGCTGGGAAGCAGGAGAGGAAGAGGAGGGGCCAGGTCCCTGGAGGGCACACCCCATGACCTCACTTCCTCCCCTGAGGCCCCACCCCTAAAGGCTCCACCACCTCCCAGGGGTGCCTCAGGCTGGCGATGAAGCCTTTGACTCGAGGGCTTTGGAGGACATTTCTGATTGAAAGCAGAGCCTTTCCAGCCGAGGAAGGTCTTCCAAAAGAAATGCCACTGTTTTGAGCCTTTTCCCTAAAATCCATTAACCAGGAAAGATGAAGCTCGGATGTCAGGACAGAAGGCTGGGACATGTCACCACACCCAGACAGGCATTGTCACAGCCTGTCTTCTCTTCAATTTCCAAAGAGAATCATTTACAAACTGGAATGTGTTCTTTGGACCTGTTCAATTCCCCTAAAAGTCACTTCTTACCCCTCTGAAATTGCCCACAATGTTAGCCAACTTTTTGTCACTGTAACAAAATGCCTGAGGGACTCAATTTTTAAAGAGGAAAGGTTGATTTTGGCTCAGAGTTTTGAAGGTTTCAGTCCATGGACAGCTGGCTGTTGCCTTGGGCCTGCGGCAGCGTGTCATGGCTGGGGGCCTGTGGCAGGGCAAAGCTGCTGGCCTCATGGCCAGGATGCTAGAGAGAGAGAGCGGAAGGCCTAGGGTCCCATAGTCCCCTGCAAGGGCACCCCCAGTGACCCAAGACCTCTCCCTGGCCCATCTCCCAGGGACACTGAGCTGGAGACAAATCTTTGGGTCTTTGGGGACATTCAGGCCCCAGGGCTAGCAGCCCACGACCCCTCCTCTGTGCAGAAGATGTCTAACCGCCAAACCTCTGGCTCTTCGGCCACAGGTCGCGGTGCTCTGTGCTCTGGGCTTGTTAACACCTTGTTTTTCTCTCTTTATTTATTTCATGTCTGTTTCTGGGCAGTGCTAGGGATCAAACCAGGCCTCACCGCTGAGCCACTTCCCAGCCTTTTCAAGTTTTCTGATGGTGAGACAGGGTCTCACTAAGTAGCTCAGGGCCTCGCTAAGGGCTGAACTTGGCCTTGAACTTGGATCTTCCTGCCTCACCTCCGAGTCATATCATATCTTAATAAATCTGTGTAGCCCCCGTTTTTTTCTGATCAATGTTTTCAATTCAGTTCAGTGAGATTTCAAAGGAGTCGGGGAGTCTCTCTCACCCCTAGAGCACCTCTGTGCCACCCAGACACCCCTCAGTGTTCGAGATGGGGTCTTGCCACGTGGCCCAGACTGGCCTTGAACTCCTGGGCTCAAGTGACTCTCCTGTGGGTGGTGCCACCCCTGCACTGGCCTGGGCCACCCCTAGGTCTCCTGTCTGAGAAACTGCAAAACAAGAGTAGCTTGGAAAAGCTGTCCTTTTGTACAGGACACTGGCGTCTGTAAAGGACACTGTCGTTGTGACCGGTCCCTGGGTGAGCGCTCCTGCAAGTCATCCTGCTTTTTTGCTATAGTTTCTTTCTTCCTTTTTTTTGTGGTGCTGGGGATGGACCCGGGGCTTCAGGCATACACACACGCTGTCGCTGAGCCCGTGGTTTGGGTCTTCAAGGTCCCCAAAGAGCCCCGTGTTAAAGGCTTGGTTCTCAGCCTGGTGCTCCTGGACGGTGGAGAGAGCTTTCCAAGGTGTGGCCCAGGCCAGCGCAGTGGTGGCACCACCTACAGTCCCAACTACTTGGGAGGCTGAGGCAGGAGGCTCACTTGAGCCCAGGAGTTCAAGGCCGGTCTGGGCAACACAGCAAGACCCCATCTCAAAAAATAAGCAAAAAAGACTCTGGGTTCTCAGTGGCTCCAAGGCTTCCCTCTCTCATGGGCCTCATGTCCCCCCAAATGCTTTCCTGACTACTAAAGCCCCACCACAGGGTGATTCTTGAGACATCCATGGAGCTGGGGAGGGGGGGTCTTCATCCAGGACAAGGTCAGACATGAGCGAGGAAAGAACCTATTGTGTTCTGCAAACTGCTCAGCTCTGGAGAGTCTGGCCTGGCTCATGCCCCAGCCCCCTCTTCTCCACAGCTGTGGCATGAAGACGGGGGGCTTCCACGGGTGGGGCTCGAGTTTCCTTGTCTGTATAAGGGGCCATGCCACCCACTGTCGGGGGTTGTACATGTACAGGTTGACACAGATCATGGTTCTAATTCTAGCAACTGCTCCCCCTTGCTGCGTGACCATGAGCAAGTTCCTCAACCACTCTGTGCATTAAAACAAAGGCCACTGGTTTTTATTTGTTTTTGCCATACTGGGCATCAAACCCGGGGCCTCACGCATGCTAGGTGAGTGCTTTACCGCTGAGACACACCCCTGACCCCAGGGACACAATACCTTTATTCATTTCTTTTTATGTGGTGCTGAGGATCGAACCCAGGGTCTTGCACATTCGAGGCTGAGCCACAACCCCAGCCCGGCACCTGGATTTGAGGACAGAGAACACGCAATAAGAAGTCCTCTCTTCTGGGGTACAGTAGCGACAGCTACTCAGGAGGCTGAGGCAGGAGGATCTCAAGTTTGAGGCCAGCCTCAGCAACTTAGCGAGATCCTGTCTCAAGATAAAAAATAAGAGGGGCTGGGGATGTGGCTTGGTGACAAAGCACCCCTGGGTTCAGGCCTCAGTAGCAAAAACACCACAAAATCCCTCTTCTCATTCATTCAGCACCCTCTTAACAGCTGCCACGAGCCGAGTACCACGTCACCCACCCAGGATGGAAGACCTAGTGAGAGGCGTCCCCTCTGCCCATGACGCCCCCAGGCTGCGATGACCCCACCGAGGCCAGCCTCACACAAGGACACACAGAAAGTGACACATTTCAACTATTTTATTTGCTTCTGGGGTGTCAAGTGTGGAGTCTCCCAGAGCCCAGCAGACCCTCCTCTGCTCCAGGGGACCCCGGACACAGAACGGGGTCTCAGACAAGGCACTGGCAGGCCCTCAGGTGGGGGGGAAGCCACACTGGGGACGGAGGGGCGGGCCCTCCCCGGGGGACAGAAAACAGTCACTTTCAGCAAGAACAACTATTTCCTAGGAATTGAGAACAAAATGAAAACCTGAGATTTGGGCGGGCCCCAGAACAAGCCAGGAGGAAAGGGGGCCCCTTCCCAAGGCCCAGCTGTGGCCTCTCCTCGTGGGCCAGGACGGGGACGCCACAGGCCGTGAGGAACCCAGAGCCGGGGGACTTCCAGGCAGAACCCTGGCGCGGGCCAACCTGGGTCCAGGTGGAGGGGGCCATGGCCACTGCCAGCACCAGGACCTGTCCCCTTCTCTGTGCCCCGCGAGCACGGGAGCAGGGCAGGCACTTCTGTGTGTCGCTGGGCAACGGGAGAAAGGTCAGGGGAAGTGGGGGAGGGGAGGGAGGACAGGAGGGGGCTGGGCTGCGCCTCCAAGGTCCTCAGAGGGCCCAGACAGTGTGTGACAACCAGCCCAGACACAGGCCACCGGGATGGGGACGTCTGGGTGAGGGCTTCAGCACCCCCCACAGAGGCCTGAGCCCTGCAGACAGGGACGTCGGCCAGGCCTGCCCCCAGGAGCCTCGTGCCCAGGGTCTTGGGGGGTCCCCAACTTCCCCACAACAAACACACTCCCCCCCTCGCCCCCAGCCCGGCCCCGTGAGGATTTGCACCTGGAGCAGGAGACAAAGCCCTTTCACTGTCCCGGCCACTCCGGGCGCCCGCGTGTGTCTGTGAGGCCATTGGTGCCCGAGGCCGGCTGCAGCCTCCGAGGCCGCCCCACAGTCTGGGGCAGAGGCTGAGGCCACAGAAAAGAAAGGAGCTTTGTCCCCACTTCTGGGTGCAGACGCTGTGAGGGGGCGGGGAGGTCAAAGGTCAACAGTCTAGACAGGCAGCCAGGAGGGGGGGTGGGTCTCCTGCAGCCCCTCCAGCCCAGAGCCACACACCAGGTGGCCCTGCTCCCCAGGAGGCTCCTAGGACAAACAGCCCCCCTGCCTCGGAGCAGACCCTGGCTGTTCTAGACGTTTCCACGCCAGCAAAGAATAGAGCAGGGATTTCCCTTCGCTGAAACTATTGCAATGTGACATTTTCCCTTTCTTTTCTTTCTTTTTTTGGTCCTGGAGAGTGAGCCCGGTGGCCTTAACCACTGAGCCCCATCCCCAGCCCTTTTTGAGACAGGGTCTTGCCAAGTCGCTAAGGGCCTCACTAAGCTGCTGAGGTCAGCCTTGAGCTTGCGATCCTCCTGCCTCAGCCTCCTGAGTTACTGGAATCACAAGCGCGTGCCACCCCGTGCCCGGCACAACATGACATTTTCTTAAAAAATCTGGCACTGGCTGGGAATCCATGACTCAGCCCTCCTTCCCCTGGCCAGCCTTGCGTGAGTGGCCTCGGGGACCTTGTGTGCTCCAGTCCTTGACCGGGCAGGTCGTAGGTGTCACCAGGTGACCCCAAGCTCAGTTCACCGGTCACACTTCCCCTCGCCCTTCTCCCCTCCCACCCCCCAGTCTCACTTCCTTCTCCGGCTGCAGCCTGCACAGGCCACCCACCTCCTCCCCGGGCCCCAGGGCTGCAGGAGACACAGAGGTCACAGGCTGTGGCACCTGTGAAAAGGGAGCCATCGTCAGGTCCAGGCTGCTCACCGTCCCCTCCTCAGCACCCAGGGGCTCCCCGGCTGCTTCCCACAGACCCGCCCAGCGTCACCTCCCTCCTCCCCCAGCTGCCCGCCACGTCCGTCCCCAGCCTGACTCTCCACCAGGAACACCATCACCGCCTTCCCCATCTCAGACCGACCGTCTGCCAGCTCCCGGGTCTGAAGATGAGGGGGGACAGGGAGCCTCGGTCCTCCCTTCTCACACAGGGACCAACACAGACAGACAGACCGACCACGGAGTGAGCGATGAGTTCACCCAACAGACACGTCACAAAACGTCACCCCCTGAGGAAATAAAAGCTGGCAGGACGTGAGTGACGTGTTTAATGGCATCTGATGACGTGAGAGCCGCCCCGCGCTGCGCATGGCAGCGGCAGCTCATGAGGAAGGCAGGACGGCGACGTGCAGGACGTCACACCTCTGAGGGGCGGAGCCACACAGGACCAGGAACACAGGGAGGGACAGGGACAAGAGCTGGAAAGGTCTGGGCAGGTGCCCAGAGAGCCCAGGACCGCCCCTCCTGCCCTGGGGCCTCTGGGGGACACAGATGGCCCGATGGAGCCTGGGGTCGGTCTGAATGAGATCCCGGGGCCCCACGTCCCGAGAGCCCCACGTCCTTCTGTCACAGAAGCCGCCGAGCACGTGGCTCTCTGGAGACCCCGTGCTCAGGCTGGGGACTTGGGGGGACAGTAGTGCCCAACAGAGCAAGGGCTGGCATGGAGGTGGCAGGGTCCCAATCACCTTAACCTGCCAGCCACAGTCCAGCCCGCTGCCCAGAGCAGAGCCGGGTCACACAACCGTGCCGCTGGCCTCCCAGGGACAGCCAGGGCTCAGGACACGGTGGCCAAGACCCGCCAGGTCCCAGAGGACCACCGCCAGGTCCCAGATGGCCAGGCGACCTTGAACCATGCGGCAGGTCCGCGAGGCCCCACCGACCTGGGAACGGGAGGGAAGGGAAGGGAGTCAGAGAGCCCAGCCAGCTGCCTGGGGCTGCAGAACCTGGCGGGACCCAAGCAGGACTCAACCAGGGACAGGGTCCAGTGGCGCCCTCCCAGGGCAACAGGGAAACCTCATCCCCAGAGAAAAGCCGATGGTTCCCCAGACGCCCATCTTCCTTCCTTGGTGGCATGGCTACAGGAGGACGCTCTCTCCTGCAGGTGTCAGGGTCAGGCCACCTGCTGAGGGAGGCCGCTGGCCCTGCCCGCCAAGTTCAGAGTGGGCAGGGAGCGAGGTAGAGCGACTCCCGAGTCCTGGGGACGTCCCAGAGACCACTCACAAGAAGCCCACCGGGGCCCGCCAGTTCCTGCAGGGACACGTGGGGACACTCCAGGACGCCAGCTCCAGGCCCCAGGCCCAGATGCCCAGCGAGGTGGCGGCTACTTTAGGTGTTAACGGACCCCCAGCGGCCCAGAGCGGCTGTCCCACGGGTGCAGGAGGCCTCCAGGGACGGCGCACGGCTCTGGTGTCAAGGGACCAGGTCCCCGTGGCTGCACTGTGGCCTGGCCACTGTTGTCCCGACACAAAGACAAGAGTCAAGTCCAGTTTTGGGGGCCAGAGGCCAAAGAGGCCACACCCTGGGAGAAAGAAAAGGCCCGTCTGTCCTCGGCCGAGCCACGGGTTGGCAAAGGGGACACCAGTGGCTCTTGGCCCCCAGCTCCCACGACTGTCCTCAAAAATAGAAAAAAAGAGAGAATAAAACCAACCGTCCCAGGGCGGCCCCATCTGGGGCCACCCAAGCTTTGGGGGACAGTTTTGGGCTGAGACTCTTCATGAGACTTAAATTTGAGACAAACCAGCCAGGAGCCAGGGGCTGGCTCTCCTCCACCCACAGACGTGGGAGGCACAGGAGCAGGCGGCCCGGCCGGAGGTCACAGGGCACGGGCCACCTGACCAGGATTCCCGGGGCGTCTGGGCCCACTGGTTGACCTCCTGGCTGTGGCGGCTGTGTCCCCCAGTGCACAGGGGAACAGGAGAAGCCCCAGCCTCTGCTTCAAGTCCACCGGAGCTTCTGCAGAGAGAGAGGAGCCGGGTGACCGGGGACGACCGCTGGTCTTCCTGGCCAGGCCCCTGAGGGCGATGTCCCTCTTGGGTCCACGGGGCGAGGTCTTGGGAGGCCTGCGGCGCTCAGTGTTTGTGGCGGTAGCTGAGCTTGTCTTCTGACTGCTCCAGCAAGTCCAGCATCTCCTCGATGATGGCCCGCAGCGCCCTGCCCAGCTGGTCGGCGTTGTAGGGCTTGCCCAGCGGGGGCACGTGGACGAAGGCCGAGCGGCCGTGGCTCTGGTACAGGGAGGTGTAGTAGGTGAAGTCACACAGGTACCTGACCCACAGGACACGGGAGCAAGGACAAACCAGGTCAGCCCGGCGACACGCAGGTGGCCGAGCATCCGACCCGCGGGAAGACGCCCCGGGCACACAGCCATCTGCCAAATGGGAGACCACTGCCCCTTCCCCACGGGCAAGCACGGAAAGCCCGGCCAACTCCAAGTGCTGGGGTCCACGTGGAGAAGTGGGCAGGCTGGGACGGTGCTGGTGGGAACCACATCTGCCTGTCCCCGGGGAAGGCGACAGCACGGGCCAGTGAAATCATGACCGTGCGGACTTTTCAACCTGGCATTTCCAGGTTCGAGAATCTCCTCTTGGGAAACATCCGCACGAGGGTCCAGGAGAGCAAAAAACAAGGACCTTCACGGTTACGTAAAAAGGCAGAAAAACTGACGGCAATCTCCACGTCTGCTAACGGAGGGGGCTTGATGGACTTTGGTTCTCCCCGCCCAGTGGAATACTACGAAGTCGTCCACAAGGAAGGCAGCAGAGCCGGGGAGCGGAGAACCCACCAAGATGCATGTTGGCTGCTCCCAAATGGAAACTGGGGAAGGGGATTCCCAGGGAGATGCATGTGATGTGCCCCACCCACGTGAAAACAAAGCAAAGCCAGATGAAGTCCTAGACCAGGTTACGGGGACCTGGTTCAACCCCCCAGGGATTCTCAAGACCCTCCACATGGTGAGTAGTATTTGCACAAAACCTGCACGCGTCCTCCCAGGGGCTTCAGTCCTCTCTAGAAGACTTAGAATATCAGATACAATGGAGATACTATGGGGTCATCGTTATCCTGTGCTGCTGGGGAATGACCAGGAAAAGCAATGGTCAGCACAGATGCACCCGTGCACAGATGTGTGCAGCATGGAGCCTCCAACACAGAGGCCAACAGTGGCAACTAGTTCTGTGCTTCATGTGTGTTGAGTGCTCCATCCAAAAAGGCCAAAGCCGACAGACTGGGCTTGCCGGTACCAGCCTCAGCCAGCCAGGGGGACCCCCTCACACCCACCACAGGGCCCACAGCGCCCTACCTGCCGGCATCCTGTGAGATGGTCACTGTCACATCCAGACCCAGCGTGGTGACCCTCTTGCACACCGCATCCATGTCAATGATGGAGTCAATGCTCTCAGGCCCGTCCTCCACGCAGCACTGAGAGCCAGGACAGAAGCGGCAGTTGTCCAGTCCCTTGTAGCCCTTGTTGTGTCCACATTTCTCCAGTGTGACTGTGGTCGCCATGCCCGATACCCCCACATGCACCACCAGCTGCAGATAAATGGGTAGGGCTTAACACAGCCTGGCGGCGGGACTGGGGGTGACCGCCAGCCAAAGAGAACAGCAACCCCCCCCCAGCTCTGCCTGGGGTACATGGTTCCTGACTTCTTGCTGCTGGAACAGACCCTGTAGTCACTCTCGCAGAAAAGGTTACCAAGCAAAACATGCAAGGGAATGAACACTCAAGGGTGCTTATGGCTGCTTTGTGTGCCCTTACAAATATTGCAAACAACCTAATTAGCCATTCTTGAGTGGAGGATAAATAAACAATGAAACATTACGCAGCTGTTAAAATGCCCAAGGCACTTTAAAATGGAATAATCCTCAAGACTTGTTGCCAAGTGCAAAAGGCATAGCTTCCAGGCATCTAGCTTGAAAGGCATCCAAGATGTAAGGAAAATGGTCACTTTCTCTTCTTAAGTAATTACTTTACACATAAATTTGGATTGTTTAGAAAAGTGAGATTCAAATCTGGGTGCCACCTCCCAAAAAAAACCCCAAACCCCAAAGCAAATGAAAGCAAGAAAAAGCCCAGAAACCAGTATGCCCAGTAGGAACAGAAGAGCTCCACAAATGACCCAAAATTCCCCAGCCATGAGGCTAACAATGCCAGATGTAGCCCCAGAGACTCAGGAGGCTAAGGCTAGAGGTTCGCAAGTTTGAGGCCAGCCTTGACAACTTAACAGGATGCTGTCTCAAATCAACTGAAACAGGGCCAGGGATGTGGCTCAGAAGTGCAGCAGGTTCCATCCTCAGTGCCACAAAAACTAAAATTTAGGCTGAAAAGAATAAAACAAAATGAATAATTCATAAAATAAAGTAAAATAAAGTTTAGGCTGAAGAACTTGCTGTTTCTTCTCGTAGCTACCCATGGCCACAAGTGCCTTCTGGGCACGGGATATGTACGACTCAAGATTGAACTGTGTCCGTTGTGGAAAATGTAGTCCAAGTACGGAAAACCAGCACAAAAGACTGTAAAATATCTCATCAGTAACTTTTCCCCTAAAGGCTGGGGGTGTGGCTCAGGGACTGGGCACTTGCCTAGCACACACGAGGTCCAGGGTCCAGTCCCAGCACCACAAAAAAATAAAACATCAAAAAAGGCCGTGGGAAGGCCACCCATGCCACCTGGGATACAGAAGTGCACTCCAGGATGTTTACACAGTGACAAAATCACCTGACCCATCTCTCAAAATATATTCCCACATTAAGCAACACAGGAACATGTGACTGTAACTTGCTTTTATTTGTTAAACTGGATGAAGACAAGATTACCTAAATGTCACAGGAGGGGAAAGCATCTATGCAATCCCTGGTCCACAGGCTTCCAGGACCCCCTCTCCAAGACAAAGAAAATTCCACCTGAGACCAGTGAAGAGGTGTCCTAGGAAAGGGAGATGCCTGCCAGGTACAGTGGCGCTCATCTGCAATCCCAGAGACTCGGAGGCTGAGGCAGGAGGATTGCCAAGTTCAAGGCCAGCCTCCACAACTTCCCCTGACTCAAAAAATAAAAAAGGGCTGGGGGCGTGGCTCAGTGGTAGAGCACTGGCCTAGATTTTGGGATGCCTGGGTTCCATTCCAACATTGGCAATAAAAATAAAATAATAATAATAATAATAATAATAATAATAATAAATCAAATTAAAAAGGAAGACCCTCTGGCCTGCTCTGCAGCCCCTAAAGGAGGCACGCGGGAAGGCAGGAGGCCTAGGACCCCACTTCCCAGCTAGGCTCCGCCCACCATCTTGGCTGGGCCGCACAACCCCTCTGGAGAGCGCCGAGGTCACCCCCGTCTGCGGGAGTGGACACGTGACCCAGGCTTGGCAAATCAGAGTAGGCCTCTCCTCCTCCACCACAGTGATTGGCTCAAGGGCCAGCACGTGACCCCAGCTAGCCAATCAGGACCAACCGTGGACCTTGGGAAAATACTGGGGGGAAGGTTCTCTTCCTGTCCAGGGGCTAAAACGAGAGGTCACCGAGCTGCCTCCGCCTGTACCCCCAGAGGCGCTTCCCAGCGCAGAGCAGAGCGCAGCGGAGGCCCGGAGGATGCGGACAGCGCTGGGGGGACACGGATCAAACCTCCCCTGAAGCCCACACGCTTTTCTGTTCAAATCACGTGGAGAGGGGCTTGGACACTCTGTCATTTATGGTTTTTTTGGTGCTGGACATTGAACCCTGGGGTGCTTAACCCCCGAGCCACGGCCTCACCTTCTTTATTTTTTATTTTAAAATAGGGTTTTGTAAGTTGCCGAGGCTGACCTTGAACTTGTGATCCTCCTGCCTCAGCCTCCGGGTCGCACCTGCCCGGCTTCTGTTCCTGGGGGTGAACCAGGGCTGTGCGCAAGGACACCTGCCCTGCCACTGAGCTGCACGACCTGACCCTGCAGCTCCTGAGTCACTTGTAACCAAACCCAAATCCTCACTGAGGGGCAGAACCAGGCTGTGAAGTCCCAAAGACAGCGCTCCTCCCTCACAGAGACCAGAAAAGCAGGTCCCTTTTGAGGCGGGGGGGCTCTGGCACTGGCCATGGTGGAAGGAGGCGGGCCACACAGCGTCCCTGGGTGTGGTGGAGCCCCGGGAAGCCCCGCCCTCCTCACCTGGGGACTGTGCTTCTCCCACAGGGCGGGGATGAGCCTCTGCACCGTTTTGTACTCAACCGGAATCTCGTACACGTGCAGGTCCACGCTGTCACCAAGACCCAGCTTCTCCAGCTCCTGGAGGAGAACAGAGGGAGGCTCGTGATACCGGTGAGGGCCGCAAGGAGAATGCGCTCCTGGGAACAGGCTTGCTTGTCCTCAGGACACAGGCAACGGCCCTGACCGCTCCCTGGAACAGGCGGAGACGTGTTCTGTGTCCCATGGCTGCTTCTCCCCTCTCTCACCACATCTCCAAGGAAGGTGGCATGAGTGTTGTTAGAGCCAGGCTCCTGGGTTTGAACCTCACCTGTGTGACCTTAGGCAAGATGCTTAACTTCTCTGAGCCTCAGTTTCCACATCTGTAAAATGGGGGTAATAAAGTCCTTCCCTTACAAGGGAGTTGTTAAGAATTGAACGGACCAATTGACACAGTTCCAAGCAATGCCAGGTACATTTTAAGTGTTCAAATAATGCTAGTTGCCATTACTAATATGGTTTTGTTGTTGTTGTTGTTTTGGTTCAGGGGATGGAACCCAGGGCTTTACATATGCTAGGGAAATGCTCCATCCCTGAGCTACATCCCCAGTCCCCCTTGTTGTTCTGGATAAAAATTATTTTTAGACTTGGAGCGTGGTAGGGAGCAAATTCTCAGTATAGGTTTGCAGATGGACTCTACTCTTGAGGGAGCTTCCAATCATCTCAGGCTTGAGATGAAAAAGGTCACAGGGATCGCCAGGCACAGTGTGTGATCCCAGGGCCTGGGGAGGCTGAGGCAGAAGGATCTGAAGTTCAAGGTTAGGCACAGAAACTTAGACACTAAGTAACTTAGCAAGACTCTGCCTTAGAACGGGCGTCGTGGTGCACGCCTGTAATCCCAGAGGCTGAGACAGGAGGATCACGAGTTCAAAGCCAGCCTCAGCAACTTAGTGAGGCGCTAAGCAACTCAGTGAGACCCCATCTCTAGATAAAATACAAAATAGGCCTGGGGAGGTGGCTCAGTGGTTGAGTGCCCTTGAGTTTAATCCCTGGTACCCACTCTCCCAAAAGAGTTTGAGGATCCAGAGATGGAACAGGTGTGGTGCCTGCAGCTCCAGCCTTGGGCCTCCCTGCCTCCACTGCTTTCTACACCATCAAACCCGGATTCCCCTGCCTGTTCCCACCACAGCTGCTTGCAGTGGGGTGACATCCTGATAGCCGCATGGGGCCTGCCTCACCTGCTGTGCACCAGCTTAGCCACACTGTGCACTGTAGTGTGGCTTGATTCCCGTGATACAGGGCTGGCTGGGATCCAGGACTGCCGCCACCCAGCATCATGACAGGGGATCATTAGCCCAGAGAAAAATCTGTATTAATCCATTTTCTGTAACTATAACAAAATGCCTGAGGCTGGGTTACTTTATAAAGAAAGGGGGTTTATTTAGCTCGTTGTTCTGAAGCTTCAGGGCCTGGCTCAGGCTTTGGCTGAGCTCTGGTGAGGATCTCAGGGGTAGAAGCAGGTGCGAGGTCACACGGCAAAGCAGGACACCAGACGGCAGTTAGGGGCAGGCTCAAACCCAGGGGTGCTCTTCCACCAAGCTCCATCCCCAGCCCTTATATTATTTGAGACCAGAGCTCACTAGTTGCCCAGGCTGGACTTGGACTTGAGATCCTCCTGCCTCAGCCTCCCAAGTAGCAGGGATGACAGGCCTGAGCCACTGGCCTGGTTCGGCTCACCCTTCTCTCACAGCCTTCTCTGGAGGAGCAGCCAGGGTCCCTGAAACTGCCTGGGCTCCTTGTGCAGGGAGCGAGCCGGCAGCCCACCCTCCCCACTGGGCCCCTCCTCCTGGAGGTCCACCATCTCTCTTTTTTTGGTGCTGGGGTGGAAGCCAGGGCCTTGTGCCTGCTAAACCCCGGCCCCTGCCCTCCACAGGCCACACCCAGGACCAAGCCTCCAACCCGTGAACCCCGGGACACACTGCAACCATGTCCCAACCACGGCGGGTCCACCCTGTGTGCACAGCTCTCCCGCCAGCGGCGCGTCCAAGCTGGTGTCCAGCCTCCTGCCGTGGACCCTTCTTATCATCAGAAGTCACCAGCTGCACTGCCACACAGGGGGCGAGGCTGCCGGCCACACAGAGACCCTTCTCCGGGGTTTCTCAGATGCACCCAAGTTTTCTGTGGCAAAGGGATTTGGAGACCTAGACCCCACCATGGCCACCAACAACCCCAACCCGTGAGCCCCGGCCCTGCTCCGGGGGATCCAGAATCGCTCAAGGATGGGGGCGCGACAGAGCGCAGGCTGCGCATGCGGGGAGCCGGGGCCACCCCAGCACCCACCGCACAACATGGTGATGATGGTGATGATGATGATGATGAAGAACTAGATTATGTCACATTCCTTCCCAGCTGCAGCCTTGTCCCAAATTAAATTGCAACTCCCCCGCAGTGGCCCTGGTGCCTGCAGGGGGCGCTCCTGTCATCTCCCCGCCCTGCTCTCCCTCCGCCCCTACAGCCACAAGTCCCTCCTGGCCAGGGCCTTCCCGCTGCTGCAGGAGGCACCATCTGCAGGCCCTGCCTCTCCCCCCACCTGTGACACTGCTGCATGCCCCGCCCCAGCTTCCTGCCTCCGGGGAAACCCTGAGTCTCTGGCCCCTTGCCACTCTCCCTGTCCTGTCCCATGGGAAGGCTCCCTCACACAGCAAGTGGTTGAGGAAGCTCGTGGCTCAAGTTTGGACTGATGGCAACAGGACTGTGTGGCCCTGGGCATGTCCCCAAACCTCCTGCAGGAGTCTTACCTGCCTCAACTGTAAGTAGGGGCTGGCTGCGACCTCACTCTCCTTTTCATCCTTTGCCACATTTAAAGTGAGCTCCTGACCATTCATAATCGTCAAATGGTAGAAACAACCCAAACGCCCATCAACAGAGGGAGGATAAATGAAATGCGGCCTGTTCGCCTGGTGGAACATTATGCAGCCATGAATAGGAATAGAGCTGGATGAACGAACCTCCAAGACCATCCCGAGTAAAGAAGCCAGTCAGCACAGGAAACAGCACGTCCAGTTCCACTCATAGAAATGGACAGAACAGACACATCTATAGACAGAAGGCAGAGCAGTGGCTGCCAAGGGCTGGGGGTGGGAGTAGCAAGTGATGACTATTTGGGATGGGGTAATGGAATGTTCTGGAAAAGATAAGCTGATGGTTATGCTATTGGATGAATGTGCCAAGTGCCGATGCATTGTATGCTATCTACTTGTTTTTTTGCAGTACTGGGGATTGAGCCCAGGGTCACGTACATGCTAGGCTAGACACGTGCTCTGATCCTAAGCTTCACCCCAACCATCAAAATGAGGACTAATTTTATGTTACGTGAATCTCACCTCAATTTAAGAAGAGGAAGAAGAAACAATTCTTAACCGCAAGGTTGGCAGAGGGTAGCAATAAGGAGAATGGCCTCTCTAGAGTACATGATCAACTTTGTTCCTTCCTTCCCCCACTGATTGGCTGGGTGTTGCTGGACAAGTTGCTCGCCCTCTCTGTGCCTCAGTGCTCTCATTTGTAAATGTGGTTAACAGTAGTGCCCACTGCATAGAGAGAAAAAAAAATAACAGAAACGAAGGGCAAGTACCTAGATCCAAGCTGGCTCAGGGTTCTAACACACCAGTGGGCTTCCTTTAAGAAAACCTGGGGACTGGGGCGTGACTCAGTGGTACAGCAGGTGCTTGGCCTGCGTGAGGGCCTGGATTCCATCCCCAGCAAGTCAAAAAAACCAAAAACAAAAATGAAAGCCACTCTGGCTAAGGTTCAGCAATCAGATGAACCCTCTTGTCTGGAATATCTAGAAAGAAAAAAAAAAACAGACAAAGAACATAAATTTATGTTCTCCTCGAGACAGTATAGTGGGGCACTGTTACAGGGCACGCCGTTGGATTAGGGATTCGCTTCGGTTTGGATGATTGTCCCCAGGGACCCAGGTATCAAACCCTGGTGCTAGCTGGGTGCTGTGGCACACACCTGTCATCCCAGCGGCTCGGGAGGCTGAGGCAGGAGGATGGTGAGTTCAAAGCCAGCCTCAGCCAATCAGCGAGGCCCGCAGCGACGCAGTGAGCCCCTGTCTCTAAATAAAACACAAAAAAGGGCTGGGGATGCGGCTCAGTGGTGAAGCGCCCCTGGGTTCAATCCCTGGCACCAAAGGGGAAAAACAGGGTGATGCCACTGGAGCTGGCAGAACCTCTGAGAGGCGGGGCCTGGTGAGAGGTGGCGGGGTCCCTGGAGCTGTGGCCGCCCCTCTCTCCCCTGGCCTCTGGGCATGGTGAGGTAAGCAGCTCGGCTCAAGCCCAGCTCTGCCCAAATGACCCGTGGCACCAAGGCCCAAAGGCAGGGGTTCCTAATCCTGGACCGAACCCTCTGAACTGGGAGCCAAGGTAAACCTTTTCCCTTTAGAAGCTGATGACCTCAGTATTTGCTCTAGTGACAGAAAGCTGACACGGTACTCGACATCTAGAGGTGACCTCATCCCCGGAGGATGTGGTTGGTTCACAAACAGGTCACAGCATTTCATAGAAGGCACCTGAGTGCTCTGGGCTCTGGGATCCCAGGGGACTTGGGATCAGCCTCAGACACTAGGGGACAACTGCAGCTGTGTCTGCACAGCCCCAGAGAGAGCCTCTTGCTGAAGGGTGTGTGTGTGTGTGTGTGTGTGTGTGTGTGTGTGTGTGTGTGTAAAGGAGCCCAGGAACCAAGGCTGTTCTGATCCTGCTAACAAACCCAAAGAGGATGAGGTCGTTTCCAAGTACCTCGGCTGTCTTCCAGACAGAGGCCCAGAGGCGGTCACAGGAAATCCAAGAGGACCAGCGTGTGGCAAGGAGACGCTCACAGTGCCTGGCGCCAAATCAGAACTCACTAGGCACCAGGCGCGGTGGCGCACGCCTGTCATCCCAGCAGCTCGGGAGGCCGAGGCAGGAGGATCACGAGTTCAAGGCCAGCCTCAGCAAGAGCAAGACCCTAAGCAACTCGGTGAGACCCTGTCTCTAAATAAAAATGATCAATAGAAACAGGCCGAGAATTAGACAGTTGCCAAATTTCTTAAGAGCCTGACAGATTGTGCGGTCCCCTCATCCCCACCCCACCCTGGGCCCTATCGCCACACTCCACAGGTGATCCTTTAAGACCCCCCTTCTGCCTCATGCACAACTATCCAATGAATCACAGTATGGCGACCCCTGATCTTTTTTTTTTTTTTTTAAGAGAGAGAATTTTAATATTTATTTTTTAGTTCTTGGCGGACACAACATCTTTGTTGGTATGTGGTGCTGAGGATCGAACCCGGGCCGCACGCATGCCAGGCGAGCGCGCTACCGCTTGAGCCACATCCCCAGCCCCCAATTCCATCTTAACTAAGCACTTAATTCCTTTTCTATCCCCCCTCCAGTGCCAAGGATAGAACCCAGGCCCTGGCTCATACTAGGCAGCCTCTACCACTGAGCTATACCCCCAGCCCTTTTTGAGACAGAATCTCACTCATTTGCCCAGGTTGGCCTCAAATTTGTAATCCTCCTCCCTCAGCCTCCCAAGTAGCTGAGATCACAGGCATGTGCCGCTGCTCTTGGCCTCCTTTCCTGTTTTAGCTAAGTATATAGCACACGCTGTGGCCGTAACTTCTGCACCAGAACTGGAACGAGTTTCTTTTTCCTTCTCTACAATTTAAAGGGCAGAAGAATCATTCTTTCCATAGATCAGAGCAAGCTCAATATCTGATTTCTTCTTTACTTATGAGCGAACGCTCACTTTTCCACTTCAGGCAGCACTTACAGCTTCTGTATGTCATATCTGAATTCTCAGCATCACTACTCTTACACTTTGGGAGCACTATTAACTGTTAAGTTAGTAAGGATCATACAAGCACAATGGTACCAGGGCAGGCCATCTGGTAACTGAGATGGTTACTAAATGACTAATGGGTGGGTAGCATATACACTGTGGATACACTGAGCAAAAAGATGATTCACATCCCAGGTGGGATCAAGTAGGACAACAAAAGATTCATCAACCTACTCAGAACAGTACACACCTTATAACTTATGAATTGTCTATTTCTAGAATTTCCAACTTAATATTTTTTGGTCCATGATTGACTGTGGTAACTGAAACCAAGGAAAAGTAAAACCACAAATAAGGGGGCATTACTGTATTTATTTTCACATCAATTACAAACTTCAGTAATTATTTTCTCCACTCTGCAGTCTGTTTCAGAGATCCATCTGCATATCTACACTCTCTGCTGTATAATATTCCACCTCAGAAACTGGCTCTCATGGATTCAACCATTTTCTTATGTTGGAACACTGAAGTTTCCTCAATTGTATGTCATGCTGCAGTAAATGCACTTGTGCACATTTCTCACACAAATGCCAAGAAGTGGCATCACTGTCCTGCAAGATTAGTACATATTTATTATCGAGAAATATTGCTGGAATCCCAGCTACTCAGGAGACTGAAGCAGAAGGATCACAGGTTCAAGGTTAGCCTAGGCCACATAGTGAGAACCTGCCTAAAAAAAAAAAAAAAAATTAAGGTAGCTTAGTGGTAGAACACCCTGGGTTCAATCCTCAGCCCTGAAAGAAAAAGTGACTTGGGAGCACACTGAATGTGTTAACTCACTCATGTGACTAATGGATTAATGGGTCATTTGCCAAGTGGGACTGCCCTAAGAGATATATGTGGCTGGACTCCCCCCATCTGTTACCTGTCTCTTGCCATATGATGTCCTGCTGTGGCCTCCGAATTCTTATCGAATTCGAATATCTTATCTTATCAATAAGGGTGGCAAGAAGGCCACCCTTATTGATAAGACCTCTCAGCCTTGGAGGAGAACCATGAACCAAAATTAACCTCTTTTCTTTATAATGTATTCAGTCTGTGATATTGTGTTACAGCAACAGAAAATACATTAAGCCAGAGACCCATTGATCTCTTCTCTCTCTTAAAAATAAATCAATGGGCCGGGGATGTGGCTCAAGCGGTAGCGCGCTCGCCTGGCATGCGTGCGGCCCGGATTCGATCCTCAGCACCACATACAATATCCGCTGGTAATTAAAAAATAAATATTAAAATTCTCTTTCTCTCTCTTCTCCTCTCTCTCTCTTTAAAAAAAAAAAAAAAAAAAGAAGGAAAAATAAATAAATAAATCAAATGTGCACCATGGTGGGGGACGTCTGTATTTCCAGCTCTTGGGAGGCTGAGGCAGTAGGTCTGCAAGTTCAAGGCCAACCTGGGAAACACAGGGAGACCCTGTCTCAAATAAAAAATAAAAAGGGCTGGAGGGCGGGGGCTGGGGCTCAGTGTCAGAGCACTTGCCTAGCATGCGTGAGGCACTGGGCTTGATCCCCAGCACCATAGAAAAGTAAGCAAATAAAATAAAGGTATTGTGTGCAACTGAAAAAAAAAAGGGGGGGGCTGGAGATGCAGGTCAGTGGTAGAATGCGGCCTGGAATGCAAAAGGCCCTGGGGCCCATGGGGGGGGAGGGGGGAGCAGTAGGAACCTGGAGGAATCTCCAGGTGTGAACGGTGAGAGGGCGCCACCTGCTGGACAACGAAGGAACGGCCGCGGGCAGCGGCACGGATGGACTGTGCAGAAACTCACTTGGCACTTGGGCTCCTTCTCCTTGTCGCAGTTCTGGGGATTGAACCCAGGGAGCTCTACCGCTGAGCACATCCCCAGCCCTTTTTCCTTTACCTTGAGACAGGGTCTCCCTGTGTTATCCTTGGTCTGGAACCCGCGATCCTCCCGCTTCAGCCTCCTGTGTAGCTGTGTAGCATGAACCAAGTCAGCGCTTCCCAAGATCAGAAAGAAAACCCACCCACAGCCCCTCTCCTCCACACCTGATTCCTGCCCTTCCCCTCCAGGAGGTCAAGGTCATGTCTTGAGTCCCAGGCGACAGGTGCTGTTTTTAAAATCAGGACGGAAACCTGGATTGAAGAAATGCAGCAAGACCCGACACGGTGGCCCACACCTGTAATCCCAGGGGCCGGGAGGCTGAGGCAGGAGGATCTCGAGTTCAAAGCCAGCCTCAGCCACAGCAACAGCCTCACCCCTCCAAAAAAAGACATATAAAACCACCTAATTTTTAAATATTTGTATATTTTAAAAATTATTTTATAGCACTTCCTTCTTTCCCTCTGCCCACCCCAAAATATTTTCAAGCTACTCCTTAGAAAGTCATTTTTAAAATTTATTTTTGCCCAGCCTGGCCTCCTGCTTCAGACTCCCGAGACTCCAGGAGTGCCCCACCGTGTCATGGGATACTTTGTGGTCACAAAGGACAACAGGGGAACTTTTCAGGGAGAAATCCAGCAGATCCCACCTCAAGTCAGAGGACGAGGTCAAAGGCACCAGTGAGGACCGTCACAGCTGGTGTCTCCTGATAGGACCCACCAAGAAGGTCCCACCCAGAAATGGAATTCTCACCCAGAAATGCAGCGCCTGAGGCTAATCGTGAGGAAACAGTGACAAACCTGCAGCAGAGACGGTCCACACAGTGACTGGGCGCTTTTCACCACACATGTCAAGCCCCAGACAGCAGGGAAGAGGGGGAGAGTGTGCAGAGCAGAGGGGCTGGGGGAGGGGAGACGTGATCTGGAAGGTTCTCCCTGTGGAAGGCGAGATCCGAAATCAGGCTGCAGAGTTCAGAGCTGCACTGACATTAAATCAGTCTGAGCCTGATCATCGCGCCAGGACCCTTTTAGGGCATTCACTATGAACTGCTTAGGGGCACGGGGTGGCATGTCAGCAGTGACCCTTCTGTGACTCAGAGAAAAATTCTATTTAAAGAGAAAGAGCCAATGTAATAAAAGATCAACGTTTGGGGAAGCCGGCGACGGAGCTCTGCTCCCAGATGAGAGGCGCAGACTTCAGGTCCCTGTTAGGACTCTCCCTCCCGCTCCCTGAAGCGCCACCGGCCAGAGGCCCGGGTCAATCATCTACCAGGTTTGTTCTTGCCGTCCCTAAATCCTGTCAACCATGACCCTGCCCTCCCCTGCCTGGATCCTTTCTGCTCTCCTGTGGCCCTGGTGGAACTTTCTGGCAATGCAAAGCATTGTTAGGAGACAGGAATGAACAGGATCCGTGTCCTAGGTCGAGGACCTTAAAGACCACTTTTACGTGTTCAGAGCTTCAGTTGGGGACCTGTCCCTTCGCTAAGCGTGCTGCCCATGGCGTGGCCACCTGCAAGCCCAGCCAGCCCGGTGGCTTGATTTAGTGGCACTGCACTGACTCACTGGTGCAGGGGACATGAAGGAAACCAACTCTACCAATCTTCCCAGGGCCACCAGGACATATGACCTGCTTAGACCAGAGGCCCAGCTCAGAGAGCCGGACCTCCCTACCCACCCTCTGGTGGCCTCTCTTCCTTCCAAGGAGTGGGCGCGACATGCCCCGAGACTTCACCCCCTGAACATCATCGCCACTGGGAGATGTTTCCCAAGCACCTGGGGACTCACCCACATTAATTTTTCTTTTTCTTTTCTTTCTTTTTTTTTTTTTTTTTTTCTTTCTTTCTTTCTTTCTTTCTTTCTTTCTTTTTTTGTGCCAGGGATTGAACCCAAGGGTCCTTAATCACTTAATCCCTGAGCCACATCCCCAACTCAATTTTTATTTTTATTTTTTTAAATTTTGAGACAGGGTCTTGCTAGGTTGCTTACTGCCTTACTATATTAGTGAGGCTGGCCTCGAACCTGCGATCCTCCTGCCTTAGCCTCCCGAGCTGCTGGGATTACAGACACACACCATGACCCCTGATTCGCTTTGATGACTTGAGGCAGAAAATGAGGTGGCCTGGCAAAGGAGCCATGGAGGGAGTCGTCTTCCTGGCCTAATATTTGCTCCTCTTGTCTCTGGATCCTACCCATGGCCACCCCCAAGTAGGAGGGAAAGTCTCAACTAAGAAAATCAACATCAGGGGCTGGGGTTGTGGCTCAGTGGTAGAGGGCTCGCCTAGCATGTGAGAGGCCCTGGGTTGGATCCTCAGCACCCCCACAGAAAAATAAATAAATGAAATAAAGATAGCGTGTCCAGTTACAAACCAAAAAATAAATTTAAAAAAAGAGAGAGAGAGAACCACCATCAAGCCCTGTGGGGATGCATGCCGGTCCTACCAGCAGTTTGGGAGGGTGAGGCAGGAGGATGGAAAGTTCAAGGCCAGCCTCAGCAACTTAGTCCCCGAGACCCTGTCTCAAAAAATAAAAAGGGCTGGGGGTGGGGCGCTTGTCTAGCCTGTGCAAGGTCCCGGGTTCCATTCCCAGCACCAAGACTAAAAAAGAACCCAGGATAGCAAAAAATGGCACATATGACGAGCCTGCTTAGGATGGCACTCCCTCTGGGGCAGGCTGGGGAGCGGCGGGTGAGGGGCATCTGCTCCTGTGAATTGTTCCCTGGTTTTCAAAAGGGGAGAGCCGGGATCTTTGGGCTCCACGGGGAAGATCTGGATAAATTCTTTGCCTCTGGACGCATCCTCTTCCAACCCGGCAGGACGGGTCTCCTGGGGAGGCGGGGTGCTGCAGCGCACCCGGAGTCCCGCAGTCCTCGGCAGCGGCCGGGCTGGGGCTGGGCTGGGGCGCCCCACGCGCATTGTCCCGGCCCCGTCTACCTGACAAGACCCCGCAGCCCGCGCCGCGCCTGACCGATTCCCTTGACCCCACCACAAAGACCCTCTTTGTTCGCTGGTAATATCCTTAGCAGGTCTGTCTAGACTCACTGTGGCAGTAATTGTCCCGGGATGTCACCACGTTCTGTGACCCGCTCAGGCAGGGAATGCTACAGTCAGCCCCAGCCTAGCGCCCCCTGGCCCTCCACACCCACCTGAGCCTCCCGAGAGACAGGCAGCCCGTGTCCCAGCCCATCACCCCATGTCTAGGGGGGCAGGGACACGTGAAGGGCACAGGCCCTCCTGCAGGAGGTGCTGGGGGGAGGGAGGGGTGAATCTCAGCCCCTGGGGAGGCTGAGGCAGGAGGATCACAAGTTTGGGGTCAGTCTAGTAGCTCCCAGGTTGGGCGCTCCTGGGTCCCATCCCCCGCACTGGGGTCAGCCACCATCCTGGGGACACATTAAACGGGGAGCTTCCCCCCAACTCCCACTTCCCAAATGAGGCTGCTGGAAACAGTTCACTCTCTGTGGGGTGCAGCCCCCACAGGGCACAAAGAAGGAAGAGTCAGGAGAGAGAAAGGGTACAGCGGGAGAGACAAAGCCGGCCTCCAGTCCCCACTGGGGACAGGTGCTCCTTCCACACAGGAACTCTTGGGCTTCTGAAAATTCAGTGAGGCCACAAAGCAATGGCAGCTGGCACCTTCAGGTGCAGGGGGACACCCGTCCACTGTCGCCTGCCTGCAGCTGCTGTGGACACCAAGAACAGCCCAAGGCTTACCTTCTTGAAGGATGGAGCTGGCCATCCAAGCCTTTTGTAACAGGCCAATCTGCCTTCATCCAGGGCAATGGAAAAGAACCCATGGCAGCTGCAAGCCACCCCGGGGACACGTCTCACAGATCCCGAGCAGCCACAGGTCACTAATGGTGCCAAGTTCGAAATCGGCAAAACTCACCAAGCAGCTAGCAAGTCAGCAGAGGGCTTAATACCTGGGCCTGGGGCGCAGCCAGGAAGGGATACAAGGGGCTTCTTGGAGCAAACATGGAAGAACCACAGAATGTTCTAGATCTTGATCCAGACTCGGGGTGCACATACATAAGACTTCACTGATCCTACACACAAGTGCCTCCAGTCTGCGTGTTTGTTTTTAAAGGGAAGCAACCAGATCTGAGAAGACCAGCATCTTTTAATCCGGGGAATGGAGGAGAACCTCCTTATTTCCTAAACTTCAGGAACAAAGTGGCACATGGAAAGGTCAGGTCTGGAGAGACGAGGAACCGAGCAGAAAGGGTCTTTCCCCCAGGGCCACAGGATGAAAAGCTGCCAGCCTCCACCAGGACCCCGAAGCTCAGAGGGATTTCCAAAGATTGTTTAATTGATTTTTCTTCTATTTAGATGCAGATCGCAGTGTCTGGGGCCCAGGAATTCAGACACTCGGCTTTGTGTCCACTCAGCCCCGTGAAGGCTCCTGTCTGAAACTTGTACAAAGCCAGACACACAAGTCTTCAGAAACACGCTGTTTCTTTTTGTCTGGGGCTCCGGGGAGCGGGTGCGCAAGACGGGCCTCGGACACGCTCCCATCTGCAGGGTCCCGGGACCCCGGCCCTCCATCCTGCTTGCAGAGTGGGGTGGGAAAAGAAGGGGGGAAGCAGCCAAGACTCTGAGGTCTCAAGTAGGGGGTGATAAAATAGTGGGGAGGAGGCAGCTGGGGATCAACACCCTGAGAGTTCCATTTGGATTTCTCTCCAAATCCAGAAGTCTGGGCTGAGAAGCATGGAACACTTTAAATCAGGCAGCTAATGGGCTGATTTATATAAGGGGGAAACATGTCTCTCTTTCTCTCTAGTCATTGTTCCCTAGCTGCCTCCAAACGCCCCATATGGCATAGAAATGAGGACAATTCTGCAGGCTGGCACCCTGCTCGGGACACCAGGGAAGACACCCCCTCCCTGCCTCCACTAGGCAGATTTTTTCCACTCCCAATTACTGGAAGGCGACAGTAAGGGTCATTGTACCCTCTCCTACAGGTTTAAGACACCTCCCCCAACCATGTCCCCATCTGGTCTCCCAAACCTTGGAGACACCTGACCACATACCAGGGCCTCCTCAGGTTGGCCATCTGGAGACCAACCAGAGTCCCCGTTTGAGTAAATGCAGATGATTTTTGATAAAAAGAGATGAAGATTCCCTATTTGGATGCTTCCTAGGTAAAGAGGGGCCCAGCCCCACTTATGCACCTGCCCTGCGGAAACAGGTAACCTTGACATCCGTGCCACAACCCCCCAGGACCCAGTATGTAGCTCCCAGCCAGAGCTTGGGGGGACTTCTGAAGCCGTGCCACTCCTGTTTCCTCGTTGTGTGACCTCAGATAACTCCCTTGATCTCTTCCCCAGGCCTCAGTTTCTACATCCATAAAGTGGCCACAAGAATAACTACAACTACCTTGCAGGGGGAATTGAGAGATTTCAAGAGAGCCGGGCAGAAAAAGGCACATTCAACAAATGTAAGCAGCGGGCGGCGAGGACTCTGTGAGGGGTGTGTACCAGCCTTGAATATTTTGAAGGAGACTTTCTTCAGGGCCAAGTATTTCTGGAGGAGCCCAGCTCCAGGCCCGACTCCTCCCCTCGGGATCTGAGTTACCTGGACTGCAATCCAGCTGGCGTTCACAGTGTGTTCCCCAAAAGGGCCGAACCCTGAAAAGTAGTAAGAGCAACGTGTTACCGTAGAGCTGTCCTTCCCAGCCTGTCCCAGGACTTCTTTTGAATCCCAGCTCAGTGTCCCCCTCCTCTGCCTGTGTGCTTTCAAATGAAGTCCAGCAAGAGGCCAGGAGCCTCCATTTGCCCCAGAAAAAAAGCTGATCAACTCCTTTCTCAATTTCTTTCACCATCCTCCACCCACCCTACAACTATTTTATCACCCTTCAGTGTTGGAGTCTCCTGACTCTGGAGATAACAGGGCCTTAGGCACTCCATGAATCACAGATGTGTAAGGAATGACCCAAGTCATCTGCATGACAGTGACATTCAGCCTCTCAGCTTTCCTTTAAGGCAAGGCTACTTCCTGGCCCCCCTTTACAGGAGCAAGGACTGAGGCACAGGGGTCAATCCAGATGCAAAGGTCACAGTGCAAGAAGATGGAAGAGCCGGGATTCCAACTCCCATGCGCGAGGGTTCAGAGCCTGAGCCTCCCTCTGCTAACCATGGGGTCATACTGCCTAAAAACTAAGCATCTCTTAGAGCAGGGCCAGCTGGGTAAGGGTTCCTTATGATGTCAATGTCATGGGAGGGAGACAGTGCCCTGGGAAAGCAGGTGGGAGCAGCAGTTCAAGAGGGGACCTCCAGACTCCCTCCTTCCACAGATTCTTTGAGTCCCAGCTCAGTCACTTACAAGTGAGGTGACCTCTGTGGGCCTCCGTTTCTCTTTACACAAAATGGGACACTGTGAAGATGTCAAGAACCCAGGAAAGGAAAATACCCTGGGGCTAGGGAGGCAGCACAGGGCCAGCCTGCATAATGAGAGCCTGAGTGAGAGATCACAAGATTGAGGGCAGCTCCAGGGGGCAGGGACTCTCCACACCTGTTAGGAAGGGGAATGGCTTCCTCCAATTTCCTGGGACTTAGAGCAGACCCACCTCTAGACTCCTAGGCTCACAAAACACCTGTTGGAACGTTTTCTTTTTCTTTTCTTTTTTTCTTTTTTGTGGTGCTGGGGCTCAAGCCTGGAGCTCCGTGCCTGTGAGGCAAGCGCTCTGACTGATCTGCATCCCCAGCCCGGAGCGTTTCATTTACTCCCCCCCCCAACCTCTCTGGAGAGCAAGTCAAAATGCCCCTGCACACACAAACACACTCCGGGGCCTGGCGGATGTTGACGGGCCACTTGGCCCCGAGGTGGAGTCTCAGCGAAGAGGAACAGTTGGTTTCAAGAGAATCAGTGACAGCTGGGGCTTGGCGCACCCGAAAACAATCCAGGCTGAAAAGGTTTTGGCTGAGACAGTCCCTGGGACGGCCACGAGGGAGCCCGGCGCCCTCGGACTTTGAACCCCTACCAGCCCCTGCCCGAGGGGAGCAGCCCCCCGTTAACTCAGCACCGGGGAGCAGCGGCTGGGAGGTTCATTTGTCACGGGGGCACTTCCTGCCCGTAAGTCAGCCTTTGTCCCCTGGGGCCAGGGGGTGGGGACAAGCCCGATCTCGGGAAGGGTAGGAAGGCAGGGTCCAGTCCAGTCCGCTGGCTGGGCAAACAGAACAAGCAGGTAGGTCCCTGGAGGGTCACTGTCCTCAGGGGTACGAAAGGACTCCAGAGGGGGCCTGATCCACGCGGGGTACTTGCCCGGACCCTCCCCCAGCAAGTCCCGCCTGTCCTGACCCCCCCGTCCCGGGGACCGCGGAGGCGCCCCCTCCTCCACTTTCCAGGTCGCCCGAACTGAGCTGGACTCCCCCCGGCGATGACATCTTCCCAACCTGGGACGACGTGCAGCACCTGCCCGGTCCGGCCCGCCACCCCAGAGCCGCCCACAGCCCCGGCCGCTGCATACCGGTCACCACCACCGCCTTCCTGGGCTGTTCCATGGCGGGATCCGGCTGCGCCTCGGACCCGCTGCTGTGGGCACTGGCGA